ATCGCATTGAGTTAACAGTCTATTTATATAAGTCTGTGGTTATTACTAGCATCGACAATTGAGCGACGTAACTTCTCATTTGGTCGATTAACTTTTTTGTTTTAATTTGAAAATATCAAAAAACTAATATTTTTGAATATAAGAAATCTATAAATTATTAATGTTGCATATTACTAAGTACGAAATTGCAAAGAAATCCAAGTAAAAGAAAATATTTATTTTTTAATTCGCGAAAGATGTAACATGTAGGTATGTTATACGTATTTTAAAGGGTGAAAAAACACTTTTTAATTCTAATTTACAATGATATTTTAACATAGCCAAAACATATGTACAGCTACTCGTATTATAATCATAATCTTTATAATACGACAAAAATATTGAATATTGTATTATCTATTCCAAAAACTGCAAGTTCCTAATGTTTTTAGGATACGTATTAATTGCATCGTTATCCGTTGGCAATCTATCCATGATTATACATAGTACCAGCATCTTACTCCTTATGCTGATTCAATTGTCATTTTACACGTTTGCCGGTGATTACTTGGAGATGAAGAGCACTGCATTGTGTTATGCCACTTATGACTGCGATTGGTACGAGCTACCAGCTAGTATAGCCAAGGATTTTCAGATTATTCTAATGCGAGCCAGCATTCCTCATCAACTGACGGCCGGAAAATTTGTGGCTATGAATATGGTGACGTTCAAAGATATCTTAAAGTCCACGGCGTCGTATCTTTCAGTTTTGCGTGTTATGCTAGATGAATAAATAATATATGTATAAATTATCAACAGTTGTTGAAGTTGCGCAATATTGTCGACTACATTTCTCGCTTCCCATCGCAATAGTTAAGCTTACGTAAAATTTATAAATAAAAAATTAGGGAGCAAATTCTAGTTTCTCCGGAACATTGACACATATATTTTTACGTGTATTGTTTATGAGAAATAGAAGATTTCAAGATTTAAATATTTTTACTAGCTAGACTAGACCTGCAATATAATATCCATGTACCGCTTCATTACATGCATCAAGGTAGCGGTTTTGTAAATTGCGACATTTGTATCGTGAGACATTTTTCAAGAAAAGATCTCTTTGTTATGTTCCGCGGCGTCCCGCGCAAAGTCAACGCGGCTGGAAGCGGTCGCACGCGAATAAAAGATGCAATACGGTGATGTCTTCGAAAAGAATTATGAATACTTCCTTGTGCTTTGCCTTAATATAACGATCACATACTTGTCATAGAAGTTTTCGGATACGGAATGATTTTCCATACAGGCATTACTGTGACATTATTGGTGCATAGATTTGCTCTCAGTTGGGTCGGCATCTGGCCTGTGAGGAGAAAAAACATTTTCATAGACCTCATGGATGATACATGGATTATAGCTGTAATTTTTAAGAAGTGATTTATTTAACGGTACTTGCTAAAAGAAGCAAGTACCGTTAAATAAATCACTGGCTATGTGATTCTTTTTCATAAATTTTAATGAAATATTAATTATTTTGATATTATAATTAGTATAAATATTTTAACAAGACGCTTTAACCAATTTTAACAAATTTTACTTTTATTCTAATTTGCTATATTTGCAGGATATCTCATTATGCATTTCTTTATCTATACTGTCAAATGATTCCTGAAAACACGCTGTTTCCTTAACAGATATTATTAAAAATTTTATCATTTTTCGTACTAAATACGGTTATTTACTGAATTATTTTTGTATTTGTAGTTGCCACTTCTATTAGCCAAATCGTAAAATGTTAATAAAGGTAATGAACTTCGAAATTTGTATTTACTCTTTCTTCATTGCAAAAATTATTAATTTTATATCCGTATAACAAATCAAACTAACCAAGACTCTTTATAAATCAAAGAATTGGAAAGAATAAGGGCATTAGGAGTCAGGCGCAGAAGACGTCGCGCAAATAATACACCTATGAAGCGTGAATACACAGTTTACATGTTAGTTTATGTTGTCTCTGAGAAAGGCTCAAAAGTGAGCCGAAACATGTAAGCGCGTTTAGTGAATAAAGAAATTTTACGCTTCTCATAGGTGTATTATTTGCGCGACGTCTTCTGCGCCTGACACCTAGTGCCCTTATTCTTTCCAATTCTTTGATTAATTTTATAGATTTATAGTTATAAAATAGTAACATAATTCTAAAAATTAAATAGGTCTCATCTTTATGCTTGTTACTATATTTGATATGTAAATCTTTCTATCAATGAAAGTATCTTAATAATTCATAAACGCATTTATAATACTATAAATAATTAAATTTGACTCTTTCAATAATTGTTGTCATAATACGCATGGTAATTTTTCATTTTTTAGATAGTTCCAATGTTCATTTATTTTATCGAAATTTACTTACATTGTAATAGTGCGAAAAAATCTTTTAATTAACTCGCTGACAACCGCTGCCGCTGCCGCCTTAGCCCTTACAAGACTAATCACACCTCGTATCCATCGAGAAGAATTACTCGAGATAGTCATCTCCATGATGGATGATTGGGCCATGCAGAAGGATAAGAAAGTTTGTTAGATTATAAAATGATAATGATATAATTCTCATTGGAATATGCAATGTCTACGTGCGTGACGGTACTTACCTTTATTCTTGTGGGTATCATAGTGGATGTTTATGTCCGGCACGATGCGTAATAGTCGAAGCGGTCCAAAGATACTGCCAATTTAATTATCCGACTGGCGGAATGTATAGAGGAGTCATTTAATGCGAACGTTTTGATACTTATTCGTTACCAGCACTGTTATGTGTACAGATGATAATGTACTTTTAAATGAAAGATCGGTAAATTTAAAGATTTTTTTGCAGTACTTGTAATCACAAGATGAAGTTTCAATTTAGATCGTAAAATAGTTATAGGCGTTATAAAAATAAATTTTTAAATAAAATAAATTAATAAAGCATAATATATTCTAATAAAAATTTCATTATTTTCAATGTTTTCTAGGATACATGTTAATTGCATCGTTATTATCTTGGAAATCTATTTATGATTATGCATAGCACTAGAGAGTATCTTTCTTCTTATGCTGATTCAATTGTCGTTCTACACATTTGCCGGTGTAATACTTGGAGATGAGAAGCACTGCACTGTGTTATGCTTTACGACTGCGATTGGTACGGTGCCGGCTAGTGTAGCCAAGGATTTTCAGATTATTCTAATGTAAGCCAGTATTCATCATCAACTGACAGCTGGAAAATTCATAGTCATGAATATAATGACGTTCAAAGATATTTTAAAGTCCACGGCGTCGTATCTTTCGATTCTACGTGTTTTGTTAGATGAATAAATAATATATGTTATTAGTTGTTAAGTTGCGTAATATTGTAAATTATATCTGCCGCTTCCCGTCGCGGTAATCAAGTTTTCATAAAATGTATAGATTTATTTGTGATTTAGAATAAAGCCCCGTATTTTATTTTAAATACATGCATGGAATATTACGATGTTTTGATAAAATTGGAAAGTTTTCAATTTTCCTTCAACAATGCACGACATCTTATATCCCTCTTTTTCGTCCCCTTTCAGTTACTTCAACAGCACAGAATGATAGACTAACGTTTTATGATAAACAAAATGTACTGTAATGCCATAGGATACCTATATGTTTCGATTTCAGTTACATAATGACTACAGCGCGCAGCGTAAGAAGACTGTGATCCACTATTAATTTTCGTATTCCCTTTTATATTCTTGCTATATGATGAAAAAGATACGTGGCTGTACTACGTTGCATATATCGCATATGCGTATATTCGCTCAAAGGTACTCTTAGTAGAGACTGCAATTGGTAAGAATTCAAAAGTTAGCGAGAGACAGTCCTCAACTACAAAGCAACGCATCGTATAGAAACATGTGATTTCGATGTGCCAATTCAGTTTCCGCGTGGCACATCGAAATCACAAGTCGTTTCTCACTTGAATAAAAGATCAAAGGAGGTCGCTCGCCCTCGACGGTGTAGGTAGTAAGATGGCTTTACTTCCGCGCGCCTTCATAGTAAGTTTGGAGTTTGGTCAATGCACAATAAAAAAAAATCGAATAAACGTCATCGGGAGAAACGGATATCAGTAATTTCATTCGATTTGTGCGTGACAATTGTTCGCAATTATAGCATCAATCTGTTTTTTGATTGAATTTACATTAAATATAGTATATGTAATTTTTTTGTCATTGAAGTGTATTTCCACGTATTCGCAAATTTATTAATAGTGCGACGCATTCTTTTAACTTTAGAATGCTATTGAGTAATATAGTAATATTGCTACTGAGACATTTTTATATACAAGGAAATGTGTCACTTTTAATTAATGTAACACAAATTTTTCAAACATATTTCACTGTTTTAAATGACAAAATATTTATAATTTAGCCTTTTGTAAACGCAAATAATTTAATTATTGACTTAAAAGAAAAGAAAAAATAAAAGCATACTAGCAAATTCAATCTTGAATTGATATAAAGCATGTAATCTAATAATGTCTGTGTGTCTCTTCATAACACTTAAATAAAATATTTAATTGAATAAAATATTATAACAAAATAATTACACAAAAATACTTAAAAGTTGAAATCATGCACTTATCATGCTCTTTGCAACGATAATCACAAGACGGTCTGATATATAAACTGATATATAAAAAGAACAGATAGAATTTTTAGAAGCTTATCTTTGCTTGTCCCAGCATTTAGCTTGACAGATTAGATTTTCTAATGATCATTGAAGAGGCTTAATTTAGCGCTCAATGACTTCGCTCACTTGTATGTACGTAAAATTTATGTATCGATTGCATTCTAGAGTTAAAACATTGCTGTGTTTTAATATTAACATGAATAAGATTTTATGACTGAGAATATTTAAATTAGATTGAGATCTTGATTCAATTCAGAACGTGATACACATTAGACTTAATTAATTTCTTAATTAATTCTTTGAAAGAAGATAGATATTTTTACTAAATAATGAAGGAAGCAAGAAATTGGAACGACGAATCTCATTATGCTCTAAATGTTTACGAAAAAGTTCTTAGTATAATTGGAATTTGGCCTTTGAATGCGGGAGAGCTCAAATCTATTGCACGATGTTCCTTAGCTATTTTGATTCAAGTAAATATCATAGAAATAATTATTAACAAATTAATGATATATACAAAGTATATCTTTATCGAAGTATATCTGATTCTATCGTTATTTCTTTTTTTGTTTCTGGAAATGGTTTTTTTAATAAAAAATACTTAGGGCCGGTTGTTCCATCTTTGCATAAACTATGTGGGAATTTATCTAATGGACAAACAAAAGAGTAAAAGAGTAAGAGAACAAAAGAATAGGAGACTCTATAAGAGAGTGATTTGATATTTATCGAAAGGTGGAACAATCCAGTCTTAGATATAATATTAAACTTTTGAGTAATTAGCAATTAAAAATAGAGAGATTGCGAATTAACGCGGTTCCTTTCGCGATTAGATCAGTACTATCGGCAGCCTGTCTCTGGAAACATATTGGCAGTGCCTCGATACTGAGGACATGATGGAGGCCTTTCTAATGGACCTCTCGTCTGTCGTCAGCCTCTCCAAGCTTCTCGTCATTCGCTTTACCTGGAAGCATACTTACATCCTGGTGACTTCCATTATCGACGACTGGTCGATGTCTCGAAACAAGCAACAACGAGAAATTATGATGAGGTACACCCATATCGGCAGAATGGTGTCCTTGACGATATTATATCTGGGCTACGCATCAGGAGTCTCGTTTCTCTTCATGGCCGTACCGTTCGACAGTTTGATACCTTGGCTAAACGTCTCCAAGGCGAATGATAACGACACGGTGGTAACGACGTATTTTCTAGCAACCTATTGCGTTTTCGGGTCGCTACCAACGATCACCTACAGCTGCGTCCTGTTACTGCAAACGGCGCAGATCTTCGTTAATGCTACCTCTCATTGCGGAAATGATGGTTTCTTCTTTGGTCTTGCGATGCATCTATGCGGGCAGTTTGAAGTACTGCAAATGGATTTCGCTGGCATCGAAGTGGAAAAACAAAACTGTAAAAGGAAGATACGGATGTTAATTATCAGACATTGCCATTTAATAAGACTAGCTGACAGTTTTGAGTATGCTTTCAACATGGCTATCTTAACACAGGTTTCAATGAGCGTGCTGTTGCTTTGCGTAGAAGGTATTTTGTTTTTGTGGTTTTAAAATTGTTTTTTTAAATGTATGTCTCACTATGCACTATATAATACAAAATACAATGATCTTCCCTTGGCAAAAATGATTGTGTTTTATGTATTAGAACTTATTAGTTATAATTTACAAGACTATTTATTAACTTCTTATGTAACAAACATACATAAATCTTTAATATTTTCACTGTAAATGGATAAGATAAATGTAATTCTGTGATGTGGCGTTATTATTGCATACTATTTGTTAATTTATGATATTATATATTAAACTTCACCATTTTTTCTTTTACACAATTTGACTTTCTAAAGTTCTAAAAATTATAAATTAAATATTAGCTAACATGTCGGATATAGTAGCTACTTTAATAAAGAATTTCATAATTTAGCAAGGATAAAATGTTAAATAAAGATCAAAAAAAGATAAAAATATTACAAAATGAGAAAATAAAAGATAAGACAAATAAAATTTCTCAAGTTATACATTTAGATATTTCCTGAAAAAGCAAATGTGTCTATCATACTTGCTAAATCTGTTACTAGTAAACATTTAAAACTACGTTATTTTCACTAGAACGCTAATATTGATATTGAGTATGGCTATTATAAATTTTACAAGGAAATAAACTCTTAATTAATGTAACACCAGTTTTTTTCATACATTTAACGCTTTTAGAGAGAAAATATTTACAATCTACTTTTACAAATACAAATAACCTAATTAGTAATTTAAAAGGAAAAAAAAGAATAAGCATGCTATCAAATTCAATCTTGAAATGATATAGTATATGTATACTCTAAATTTCTTGCAGTGAAATCTCACTCCAAGAAAGTGAAAATACAACGATCCTTTACTTCTTAAAAGAGTAACAATTTTCAAGAAGTAAAATATTTCCACTTGTTTTCAAGGGTGATTGCATTTTCACTCTCTTGGAGTGAGATTTCACTGCGAGAAATTTAGAGTGTAACTTAATTGAATGTATGTCTTTTTATAACATTTAAATAAAATATGTAATAACACCAAATAATAACACAGAAATCCTTAAAACTTGAAATTACTTATCACTCTTTGCTGCAATAGTAATCACCAGTCCAAACTGTTATATAACGAATAGAATTTTGAAAAGCTCATCTTTGTTTGTCCAGCTTTTAGTATGATAGATTAGATCTAATGATCACTAGGCATATAGCTTAGCACTTAATGATCTCGTTTACCTAGACGTAAAGTTTAGTATAAGTGATGTAAAGTTTACGTATTGGTATAGCGTTCTGCGAAAAGTAAATACATTTTTGAAAACCAAGAATGTACTTACGTTTTTTTAAAATATAAAGATTTTAAATTAATAAAATGTTAAATAGAAATTTAAATAAATAAAATATTAAAATAAAATTATTGGTATTGTTTTAAATATTTTATATTAAAAAATTGAAATATTACTATAAGTTTTAGCGTAATAATTTAAAATCTATTTTTAGGTATGCAATTAATAATATCGTTGAAATTAAACGATAATATTGCAGCAATAAAACATGTTGTCTTAATTCTCACAATGTTGGTGCAATTGTATCTTTATTGCTATGCTGGAGATCAGCTGGAGAATGTAACCGGAAGGATCGCGTACAGCGCTTACGATAGTCCATGGTACGATTTTGATGTAAAAATAATGAAAGATCTACCTATGGTGATGCTTCGAGGAAAGTTGCCTCATCAAACAACAGCCGGAAAATTCCTACCGATGAACTTATTTTCATTCAAAGAGATTTTGAAAGCTACAGGTTCCTACCTTTCCGTTCTCAGAGTGATGATAGATGTGTAAAATTTATATTGTCGGTATATAATTATAAATTATGTGTGACTGATATCTTTAACATTTTCTTTTTTTCATTTTCTTACATACGTGAATACTCCTATATCTGCGTGCGATATCGATTATCATATTTTGCCAACCATTAGATGAGAACATATCATGACCGAAACTCGAACGATTGTATTATACAACATATTGTAATAAATCGCGCGAAACGCACAATCTTATAACTTAATAGCCAACAACATGATAATATATATATATATATATGTATATATGTATACATATATACATATATATATATACATATAAGTTAAGAAACATTTATTGTTGACTTGTTTCTTATTTAGACTAATTTGTAGAATAATTTTCTTCTCCGAAGAAATACAATTTCCTACAAATGTATTATTAATTATTAGCAGTAGTATATATACGACGAAAAAGGTTTCTACCTTCGATATTTATTTAACATGTAATGAGCATATCATAAGAAAATGATAAAATAATATTGTCACAATTCTTACAATACCCTATTACGTATTTTCCTGCGTAAAATTTTCCTTTCTTTCTTTCTTATATTGAATCCATTTAAAATCAACGTATGAATTTTTCCATCATATCCGTGAGAGCAACAGTTCATGAGATATCTTAGAGAGGACTATTTATATATCTTTTATTTATCATAATATAAAATATTTAAGCGTCTAACATTCCAGATATTAGTAGGACTCATCTCGAGGAGATGTGCCGTGCATTATTTTACATTATTTGTACAAATATGAATAAAATCGTAGGCTATACTTGCATTTTCCAAGAAAGTTATGAAAGTTAAAGGTATGAATAATAAATAAAAAAAAATCCAGTTGGAGACGATTGAACCATAAAGGGGTTGCTTTAAGTGTTGTAGGTATCTGTACCTCTAACAAATCGAATATTGAACAGTTGATGCAGTTATTGCGGAGGGACGTAGACGACGAAATACAACCGCTTTCGAGGAATAACAATTTGAAGAGATACTTGGAAGATTTAATGTACAGTAATCGTAATAAAAAACTTACGCAAGCGTGAGATTTTACAGTACTTGAGAATGGGATCAAATACGGATTGGAATACTGATACTACAAATATTTTAAAATTTCATAAAAATTTTCTTGGCATAATTGGACTCTGGGTATTAAACGAGAAAAATGTATTCTCGAGAATTCGGTGGTTCGTATCGACGCTGGTGGAAGTAAGTTATGCTTTATCAAATATTCAATACAATTTGCAATCTTACACATTCGGGTATGTGTATATACTTGCAATTATTAATTTTATTTCGTTAAAAATAATAGAAGCCTGTTAAATTTTGTTCTATTTATATATGTATATATTGTAAACGTGTATTTTTCTTTGTTTTAAATATATTTTGTTATATTTATTATAGCTTTATTACACATATATATTTCATATACAGAGTGTTCTGCGAGGAAATTAACTGACAAATGTGTTTAAAAAATGTGTTTTACAGGATTATTCTAAACAAAAAGGTTCATATACATCATAAATTTATTCGGCTCAATTAAAGCGATGCAAAAATTTTTATTCTTGTCAATAATGTAAATTTTTGATAACGGACTTTTCTCAAAACATCAGTTCTCGCTATATAGATACGCAGTGTAACTCAAATATTTATTTGTTATTAAAGATTGGCGTTGAGGTAATAAGAGATATTGCATATAGCCACTCATTATTATTATATACGAACGTATAATATAAACTTCAATGTTTAAAATAATCTCTAGATCACATTTTGGAAGTTCGTCTACTTCCTCATGGAACATCCTGCATATTAAATCATATACATATGAATTTCAAATAAAATTAAAGATATTTATATTAAAACCCAATATTTTTATGTAATTTTCATTAACCAGACGAGTACATGGATCATTATGTCATTAGAAGTGATTCGGAGATGTAATGGTAACGAGGATGCCATGGATGCTTTTCTATCAAGTTCATCGTCAATAACCAGTTTGGTAAAATTACTTTCACATCGCGTATATTGGAAACAAAAATTCGTTTTGGTGAAATCGGTCATCCAGGATTGGACTTACGTAAAAAATTCTCATTTCCGTGATATCATGTTGAGGTACGCGCGAATAGGTAGACTGGGCTCATCGATATACTTCTACATGGCCGCGGTAGTCTTCGCTTTCAGTGTCGTGCTTAGTAACATCAATTTGCTCTGGGTCTCTGAAAAGCAGATTTTTAATGAAACATATGAAAGAAAACTGATGTTAGCGGCCTATTGCACATTTGGAAATTACTATACATCTTTTTTCGCATTCGGCGCCATTGAAGCTTTGCAGTTCGTACAGATCCTTGTTAATTGCATCTCGCAATGCGGGAACGACGGATTCTTCTTCGATCTCACGATGCATATGTGTGGACAATTCGCAATTCTTCGTATGAATTTCAACGCATTGGGTTGCGATAAATTTTCTTATCATAACGAACTTGATGTTTTGTTAAAAAGACATTATCGCCTCTTACGTTTATCGTATTATATGGAGAGAGCATTCACACTGGCCATTCTGGCACAAGTTTTAATGAGCGTCCTTGTTTTATGCGTAGAAGGTTGTTATTATTTTAAATTTAAACAATATAATTAAATTTATTTTTATGCTCTAGAATTTATATTTATTCATTCCATGTTACTATATATAACATAGAATAAACAACAAATATGTATTTTGGAATTTTTACAACAATAAATTTATAATTATTTTACAAAAATTTGTTACTATTTTAAAGTTATTATTAATTATATTTATTATTATATTTCTTTTAGGTTTTCTTTTGCTTCTTTCACTTGAGCTAAATGATGCTTTTACTGCTATGAAACATGGCGTCTATGTCATCGCACTGTTGATACAACTTTTTCTCTATTGTTTCGCTGGTCAGATGTTGGAGTTCCAGTCAAAAGAATTAGCCTATGCAATTTATGAATCACCGTGGTATTCGTTTGATGTGAACATGATGAAAAATTTACCATTGATGATTCTCCGAGCAAACAATCCTCAACAATTAACTGCAGGAAAATTCGTACCAATAAATTTTATGACTTTTAAGGAAATTCTGAAGGCTTCCGCTTCGTATTTATCTGTATTAAGGGTAATGACTAGAAAATGAATAGAAATTTGTTTAGGAGAAAAATAGATGATATAATTTTTTCTTTTATGAATTGGGTAATTATATAGAATAAAGGGCCCCCCTCCGACGACTTTGATCTTGAGTGACCTCCAACAAGTTTTGATCGTCACTCGTTTGTTAAAAAGTTATCAACAAAAAAAGTTTAAGAAATAATGTCACATTTCTGCTATATATATGTATATATACAGGGTGACCCATTTTAACTTAGACAGCCAAATAACTCGAAATATCGCGATTAAATAAAAAAATGTTTAAAACAAAAATGGTTGGATATGAAGGGGCTGAACTATGACCTTGACAATGACCTTGACCTTCATTTTCAAGGTCATTTGAAGGTCAAAGTCATTTTTTAAAA